TTTCGAAACAATCATCGCAAATGGCGCCCTAGGTCAACAGCACAAGTCCAGGATCGATTAATCAGAAACCAAACTATAAGAAATGGAGCTCAAACGGCCAGTCACATCGCTGTTCGCTGACGCCAGGCCAAGCTACTGACCAGGCTATTAGTAATCTAAAGTTAATCTGCATCCTCGGAGACCACGTGTTGTACCAACGTTAACAGATCGACACATTCCAGCCACACGCCAATGGATTTTAGAGCATAGAAACTGGGGGTATCGCGTGGACTTTGTGGATGGGCGTGAACATGTCTGAAGGCATCCTAACGAAAGTCATGCTAACATCATGGGCGGGATCACTCACGCCACTGCATATTGTCCATGGAAACGTACTACCGAGACAACATACAGTCGCCGTTACGCCTCTATGCTGGTCCACTTTTTGTCTTTCAAGAACATAACGCTCGTACACACCGTGCACATATCGAGTCCTGACCTTTGCCCATACATACACCTGGGACATGTTCAGGTGATGTACGCCGACATCAAAAGCCACCCCTATGTTAATCGAACTGGGCGAGGACAAGACTCCCTCCAATTGTCATGGGGATATTGATTCGAAACATGACACGCGGTATAAACGAATGTTTACCCAGTGGTGAGTCATAAACCCATTACTAATCAAGACCAGTGAAACCTTATTTTTTTTTACTACACCCACTGTGGCTTTCTTGGTTTTTGGCCCACATGGGTACAATGTCTGAAGCCCATTTCTAGTTTCCCCTGCCGTGATCTTGCTGGGAAACTCATAAAAACGGGGTGAAACCATACTCGCTCGCTTGGTTGTTTGCACCCTTACAAAACACCGTTAACATGTTCTGTTGACGGACCTGTTGCACCTTGTCCTTCCTATTTCTTATCCTTTCATTACCATCACTCGATACCTCTTTGTAATTCTGTAAATATCTGTTATTCTCGAAACTCCCCAATTTTTTGGGGAGCTTATATATATTATTAATAATTCAGTGACTCAAATGTGTAACTGTTCTGAATGGAGAAAGTGCACACAAATCAACAAATCGTCTTCTGGGAAGTAAGAAATAAACTGCTGTACTCTTTAATCGGACATCATACTCTTCGAAATTGCGTTAATCCACTTTCTCACGCCAAACTCCAAATTCAAACTCGTACTTCACATTTTCTTTACAGGGGCACCAGGCTGAGCAGTATTGGCAACCCTTGCATGTTGCTGTCATTTGAAGCCCACTTAATTACTCTATTTCTAGGGGGCACGGGTGGCCCAGTCGTCTAAGGCGCCGCGATTCGCTGTGCAGAGTTGCGTCCCTTGGGCACGCCAGAAACCTATGATTGTGGGTTCGAATCCCGGTTCACCCGAATTATGTTTCTAGGTTTGTCAGCACCATACCCTTGCTCGTGGGTTTCACCGAAGTGGTAAACGTCTTAGACCTGCATCACTTCGGGCTTTCCTCCCACATTAAGCTGACACGCCGTGATATAACTGGAATACTGTTAAAAGCGGCGTTAAACCCAACTCACTCACTCACTCACTCACTCTATTTCTATCACTCTGTTAGTTAAAGATTAACCACACAGAGACAATGTCCTCCCGGGTTCATACAGGGCACGAAGACACAGACATTAACTGGAAATTGCTCTTTGATGCATGTTGAACGATCGCTACCAAAAAACAATTCGACAAGTCAGCCATAAGGTATCCTAACTCCACTTGGAAAACCATAATATAACTGTGTTAATGATTAATGATTTGGTAGAGATTTCCTAGGATTCTGGATTGTTTTGTCGCTTTTAATTACATGCCACGTGACAAAGTCGGGAAAGTATCAACCATTCCAAGCCTTTACACATACGACCTTGACCATTCAAACGAGAGTGGCCTCCCTTCGACCAAGACGACTGCAACGTATATGAAAAACTGATTCATACAAAATAATATACAGGTGTTGTTTGTGTTTGTGTTTGTGTGTGTGTGTGTGTGTATGTGTGTGTGTGTGTGTGTGTGTGTGTGTGTGTGTGTGTGTGTGTTTTGTTGTTTAACGCCGTAATATTCAAGCTATATGATGACGGTCTGTAAATAATTGAATCTTAAAATACAGGTGTATTCTGCTTAATGTATATATGATATAGGTGTTTTATGATTCATACAAATATAATACAGGTGTATTCTGCTTAATGTATATATGATATAGATGTTTTATTGTTCATACAAATATTGAATAGATGTATTCTGCTTAATGTATGTATGAAATGGATGTTTCATGATTCATACAAATATTATACAGGTGTATTTTGCTTAATGTATGGTTGATATAGGTGCTTTATGATTCATACAAATATTATACAGGTGTATTCCGCTTAATGTATATATGACATAGGTGTTTTATGATTCATACAAATATAATACAGGTGTATTCTGCGTAATGTATATATGATATAGGTGCTTTATGATTCATACAAATATTATACAGGTGTATTCCGCTAATGTATATATGACATAGGTGTTTTATGATTCATACAAATATAATACAGGTGTATTCTGCGTAATGTATATATGACATAGGTGTTTTATGATTCATACAAATATAATACAGGTGTATTCTGCTTAATGTATGCATGATATATGTGTTTTATTGTTCATACAGATATTATACTCGTGTATTCTGCTTAATGGATGTATGATATAGGTGTTTTATGAATTATACAAATATTATACTGGTGTATTCTTCTTAATGTATGTATGTTATAGGTTTTTTATAATTCATACAAATATTATATAGGTGTATTCTGCTTAATGCATATATTATATAGGTGTCTTTTTATTCATACAAATATTATACAGGTGTATTCTGCTTAATGGATGTATGATATAGGTGTTTTATGATTCATACAAATATAATACAGGTGTGTCAGGCTTAATGTATATATGATATAGGTGTTTTATTATTCACACGAATATTACACAGGTGTACCAAACCTAATGTACACGTCTATCAACAGGAATGTCATTATCAAGTGAACAATGTGCATAGTGTATGAACGAAGAGGCTCGTCTGAGTTGAATGTTATTAACTTTGTATCTACGGGTATGTTATAAGCCCTATATATATAAATATATGATACTCGTATCTAATAAACCGTGCATGCATTATACATGTGATTCCATAAATATGTGGTTTCGATGTCTGATACTCTGATATACATTTACTAGTAACTTAAAGGCCATAGGTATAGGATACATTTGACTGATATACACAACACAGTGACACATGCATGAGTTTTTATCTATAAACCCTTAAGCTGTTGTTGTTGCACGTGATTCTGAGCCAGAATTTCAATTGCAATTTTGAGCATGTAAACAAGTATATATATTATTGATTATAATATATTATAATGTATGTTATAATAATTTATACATTGACAAGTAAAACCATCGCAACTATAGGCCATTATGCAAAACAATAATGAGAAATTAGTTATCAACCATAACATGGTTGGAGTCAGAGAAATAACTCGAATCTGTTATGCAAGTAAATAATAAACATTATTAATTATAATGTATATCATATATATTATAATTATTAATACATTAACAAGTAAAGCCATCGCAACTATAGGTCATTATGCAAAACTGTGAGAAAATAGTTATCAACCATAACATAGTTGGAGTCGGAGAATTAAGTCGAATCTGTTGATTCCTGATTCTCATGAATTCTCCATTACGTCGTTAATACTTGCCACCTCTGTGGTCTAGTGGTAGTGCGTCCACTCGGGGACCGAAGGTCCGGGGTTCGATGCCCGTCCGCGACATACCAAAAGACGTTAAAAGATGGAACTTGTTCTTACCCTACCTGGCATTAAGGGGGTAAAATAAGGACTTGTCGGCTCAGAGTATAAGGCAGCGACTGAGTCGGGCATTCATGTTAAACTGCGGCATGGTATCTCAGTGGGCTAGCACTATATAATCGGTATTAGTCCGGACTATTACAAGTAGCCACACACACACACACACGCACGCACGCGTGAATGCACGTCGCTATATGCATGTAAGTGTGACAATCTTGAATGCGACGTTTCACCGCATCTCACCTTAATTCCTTGTTATATAGTCACTAAATGTAAATGATATTGTTATATATTTTATGATATTGTTGTGATAGTTTGATCCAGTACTTTCCGACCCGCAATCATGTATGATTATGACAAAAATTAACGAAATAAAGAAAAACATTTGCCTTGTACTGAAATGTTATCCGACGAGACGTACCGTGGATGTACGTTATGTACACTCTTGAGTTATGTTACTGAAATAAGTTGCAATAATACGTATGTCCAAGAGATATGTTATGAGGCATTTGTACGAACAGATGATGAACTAACTGTCATGATTATGATAATATTCTTTGACGTTAGTTATGCCTTCGCGACAAATTTTGAAACATGTACTTCTTGCAAATAGTTCACAGTACTAGATAGACATCCTTAAAATATCCTTTCACAAAGACATAATTTCCTAAATATGATAGGCTCTGCTTGCAAAGACATATACCACGGATTGAAACCGTTTAAAAAGAACAATTATATTAATACTAAAGACTAAGAAGTATCTCCTTTGAGAAAAGACTCTTATAACAAACAGTCATCTGTTCCTGTCTCATACTTTAAACTTTAGAATATTGATTGTCTTCAACAAATTGTTCAAAGAAAATCAGACCTTAAACAAAACCTTGAGATGAGCTGAGGCGGGGCAGGGTGAGGTGAGGTGAGATAATGGGATTTGATGTCACATTCAAGATTATTGCGCGCATCTATGTGTGTGTGACTGCCTGTACCAGTACGGTCAAATGCCGGTTTTATAGTGCTGGCATACTGAGATATCAAGCAGCAGGTGACTCCACTCAGACACAGTATACTGGCTCTGAGGCGACCAGTCCTTGTTTTAGCCCCTCAATACAAGCAAGAACAACACGTTCTTTGACCCGATGACCAAGAACAACCCACAGATGCCAAATGGTACTCAAGACCAGGGTAGCAGATGGATTTTTACAGCCCGCGGCATATCCATGGAGACGTGTGACGACCGGTCACGACTGCCCTCAAGATTTGTTCAAGGTAATGGATACCTGAGTCCCTACCATCAAGGCGGATGACGTCACCACTGTTAAACGTGACACACCATCACAGATACCCCACGATATATGCTATGCTGTTTGATGGTGCATGGCATTTAAACCCGCCGCCATACGAGACTGAATTGCCCTGAAGGAACCTTGACTTATTGCTGAACATGATATGACGACACTGACGTACATCTTGGACGCCATACACACTTATACACACGTTTATGCGCATTGGTCATTTTGATTCCTACCACTTGCGGACGACTTTTTTGAGGCCCGATTTTGAGGCGATTACGGACGTTGTACGCCAGGGTGTGTCCTTGCTTTGAACTGTAAAGCGTTCTAGTAAAGCAATGAGCCTTATGCCACAATCATTACAAGGGGTTGTTTTAGGCTTCAGTCCACGACCACGTCTCATCAAAACGTACCCTGTTTGCCTATAGAGGTTCTACAATCGTGACACCACACTGACCATTTCTGTGCTTAACTCAAGTATTGTCTTGCCGTGTTTCCGCAACGAAGACACGCGACGTTTGACGGTGCACATGTACATTGTCTCCATGTTCACGTGCACCACATCGTGGACACATGATTTCTACGTTCATGTTCATGTCATCGCCGCGATTGGTCGCACTAATCTCAGTGGTATGTTTGCAACCGGCCATTGAAGGTTGAGATGTTCCCATATTAATGGCTTCCTGAAAAATGCGTTCCCTTATTATTTTACATCCGCGTATGAGTATGAGTTCAAATTGGTTCTTATGTATCCACAGATAGATATCTGATTGATCAAAACTGTTTAACATGGCAATTTCCCCATAGTGAATATGGGCACTGTCGGATGTGGCAAAGTGAGTGAGTGAGTGAGTGAGTGAGTATGGTTTTACGCCGCTTTTAGCAATATTCCAGCAATATCACGGCGGGGGGACACCAGAAATGGGCTTCACACATTGTACCCATGTCGGGAATCGAACCCGGGTCTTCGGCGTGACGAGCGAACGCTTCAGCCACTAGGCTACCCGACCGCCCCTGTGGCAAAGAGTGAGTACATTTAGTTTAACGCCACACTGAATGGTATTGCTGTTACATCACGCCGTGTCAACTTGATGTGGCAGGGAAGCCCGAAATCTTAGGTGCTTACCACTTTGGTGAAATCCGCGAGTAAGGATATGGTGCTGACAAACCCTCATATATAATCAGGACGAACCTAGGATTCGAACCCACGATCACAGGGTTCATACACGCCTACGAACCACATCTCCCCACGGCGTGCTTCCATAGATAGACATCTGCATTGATTAACGCTGTTCACCAAACAAAAAGTGTAATTGATCATTTACTTTAATTTAGCATTTAGGACAATACTAAAAAAGAAAAATCAATCTGACAACAATCACAGGAAGGACTGACACGTGTACTTTGCGCAGTCAGAATCTGTAGCAAAAAAATGAATCAGCAGGAGTCCATTACAAGCAGCCAGAGTTACATGTACAATGCACCCAATATGCATCCAAACTTTCTTGTGATGGGATTCCTGCAAAATACGACAGTTCCCACCGGGAGTAATGATGGGAGTTTGCGTGTGTTACTGTAATTGTATATTGTAAGTTTCGTTTGTGTAATTCCTGGTTGACACACATTCAAGCACCCAGCAGCTTGTGGAGGTGGCATCCTTGTACTATGATTAACTGCCTTTGTATTGTTCTCGTTCCTTTGGGACTTCGCTAATGGCTCCGTCATTGTGTACCGGTAGAGATGATTTATCGTATAAACCATGAGAGATGATTATGAAAATATCTGGTATTAAATAATTCGCTGTAACTGCATTCAGGTCAGGTCTGTGACAATACTGGGATTTTTCCCTGGTCGATTCTGTATGAAGAGTCTTTACTGAGTCAAGATGCTCGACTCCTACGGTCAAATATTGTTAGGGATTGTGTGTATTCAGCTGATAGCAGTCGCATTGGACAAACGAGGCCGTGCGGCGGCTTTTGTTAGCCCTGCACTATAGTACGGAGCTTTCTTCGGGCTATAATTCTTCGTTATATACATATGCCTGCCACAACATTATGTGAAATACCGATTTAACATCGTTGAGTACTTTCGATCGGTGAAAAAACGAACGTGATCTTGCGCAATTACTACATGCAGCAATCTTGTTTTTTAATCCAAAATATACATTATGATTGTTTCAAAAGTAAAAGGGTACATATGATATGTTTATCTCCCCTAAGCCTGCCTCGCAGGATAAACATAGGAAGTTTACTCATTTTATTACATTTTCCCCTATGCAATTTTAATGTGAAGTGCTGTACACAAAACATATCTTAATCTGTGTTTCTTTCCACCGAATGAGTAAGAGTGAGTATGCTTAAACGCTGCTTTGAAAAGTTTTTCAGTCATATCATGGCATGACAGCTTTATGCGAAAGACCAAAATGTCTTTGAATTTATCACTTTGGTGCAACCATCTAGCACAGATATGGTGCAGACACACCAAGGATCGCAATACTAGAGAAACTGTCATTCTAATTCATGATATTTCAAGCAGTCACAATGTTTAGTTAAACCTCACTCGAGACGAATTTACTGTAGCTCAATGAAATTTGGTATGTGTATATTAAATATAATTATTATGAATCGGGAATTCAAACCGACTGTTTGTACCAATTTATGATTCAGGGACACAACTGTGCACAGAGAATAGTGACGTCTTACACAAACTTGGCCACAATGAATCAGTGACTGAGGGGCCCGTGAAGATTCCTGGATAGAACAGGTCTCCAGCAACCAATGCTTGCCGTAAAAGGCGACTATGCTTGTCGTAAGAGGGGACTAACGGGATCGGGTGGTCAGGCTCGCTGACTTGGTTGATGCATGTCATCGATCCCAATTGCGTGGGTCGATGCTCATGTTGTCAATCACTGGATTGTCAGGTCCAGACTCGATTACTTACAGACCGCCGTCATATAGCTGGAATATTGCTGAGTGCGGCGTAAAACCACAAACAAACAAACAGTGAATGAGGTTGCGTAAACGTCGCTTTGAACAGTGTTTCAGATGTCATGGCGTGTCAGTTTGATGTGGCAGCAAAGCCCGAAGTGAGTCTTATGCCCCCTTTCACTACGATCACGAATATCCCGAATCACCCCGAATCGGATACTTTCGAAATTCGCGATGATTCGGCCAATAATGCAAACTTTCGTGGCTAATCGGGTTGAAAAATATGAAGAATGCCAGGAATGGATTAAGAAACATGTACGAATTACAATATTCATGTACGGATTATGCACGAATTGTAAGAATCACCTACGACTAAGTTACGAATATGCCGAATGTTGTTCTTACTTAATTCTTACATGATTCGCAGTTGACTCGGGACATTCGTGGCTGTTTCTACTACTATTCCACACAGACCACGAATCACACGAATTGATAAATTTTAGGATTCGTAGTTGAATCGTAATCAGTTCGTGAAATTCTTAACTGATTCGCATATATTCGTAGTTAGTTCTTACAATTCTTGAGCTATCGGGAATTCGTGGCAAAAGTTTTGAGCTGTTCAAAGTTTTGGCCACGAAATCCCAATTCAAAAATATCGTAGTTAATTCGTAACGAATTCGTAATGCATTCTTAGGCATCGTAACTGAATCGTTATCGATTCGTAGGCATTCGTAGGTATTCTTAACTCGGTACTCTTAACTCGGGGATTCGTGAATTCGTGGCTTTACGATGAATCGGATACGAATCTAATCACGAAACCCACGAATACACGCCGAAGCAGGTACGAAGCTCACGATCCAATCATGAATCAGCTACGATTATATACGGGTATATAGGGAAATTAACATTGATTTAAGGTCATTAGCTGCTGACGATTGTGCCATTATAACACGAAATTCACGATTCAGCAAGATGCCATCCATTTTGAAGCTGATGTCCAAGCAAGGGTGGGGGCCTTTTTATAGCTATCTTGAGGGAAACCCCCCAAATCGTAAAGAAAAGTCACGAAAACATTTTTATTCGTACCTGATTCGTACATGCATTCGGCGTATTCTTAACTGATTTGTAACTGATTCGTAACTTTCGTGCAGTATTCGTAATAGCTTCTTGTAAATCGTAGTGATTTCTTGACAATATTCATGCGAATCCAGCCGAATACCACGAATATTCGTAACTCTATCGTACCTGTATCGTAACTAGATCGTAGAGCGTCATGAATTGAACCAGAATATTTGCTAAATTCCACGAATCCTCACGAATCCTAACATTTTCAAATCGTGGCGATTCGTGGGATTCGTGCTCTCGTGTGGAATAGTAGCATTCGCAATGTTTTCGGGTTGAGGACACGAAATTTTGGGAGCCACGAATCGCTAAGTATAGCCAGTAATGCAAAAGAATCGATTACTATACAGCCACGAAATTGCAATTCGGGGACCCTACCAAGAAAAAATTTGACAAACAAAATCTTTCTTGCCGATTCGACGAACTCCCGCGAACTGTGCGAATATTTGGGAATCAAAAAGGTTCATTTAAGAACTTCAAGAAATGATTGAGATTTATCTACGAACATGAAAAAATTCCTATTCGGGGTGATTCGGTATATTCGTTGTCGTAGTGAAATGGGGGCATTAGACCCATACCACTTGGTGGGGATCACGATCAAGAAACGTATGGTGCTAACAAACCTAGAAACATCTTGGCAGAGCGAAATATAGATAGAGATAGGTTACTGTCACACCTAAATGACGCACAGCGAATCCCTATGCTTTCTGTGCAATCCATGTACAATTTGGGGGTAGGACATTGAGGCAAGTAGGAGGCATCCCAATGGGCACCATTTGTGTTCCCCTTTTTGAGGATCTATTTTTATGCATTTGAATCGGAATTTCTGTTCGGATTGCCAAAGTCAAAAGAATGTAATTTGGCCAAGAAGTTTATCTTAAGCTTCAAGTATATCGATGATCATGATATCGTTAGATAACCATCAAAT